CAAGTCAAAGATTAAATGTGAAAGTATTTATTATTTATCTTCTCAACATGTCAAAAATGCAGTAGCCAACAGACAGAAAGACAAAAAAAAAAAAAAGACTTTTAAAATTGAAACGTAAGCAACAGTAATGAACTTACGGAAACAAAGCGTCTTCTTGAGTCGATTTTCCAGATATTCTGCTGTAACAAAAACATGCATTTTCTATGCATAGCATCATCATGTTTTCGCATACTTAATGTGTGCACTAAGAACAGTAGGCCTACAAAAAATATTTTGCACAAAACATGGTACCAACTTCCACCATTGGGAGGTAGATTGATCTTATGGTTAAAAATACAAATATATAATTAATGTTATAATTACATATGTTATAATTAAACAAATTTATAAATATATGACCTAATATAAGCAATACATTTCCAGCTGTATAACAATTATGAAAATTCATGAAAACAGCAAAAAAAGTAGCATACTTAAATGTTAATTCCAAGATAATGTGAAAATTCTCAAGTTAAACATGCACAACAGCAAAAAATGATCTGACATGAAAAACGCTCATTTACATCTACCTTCGTTACATAGTTGACTGATCTGAATGACACCTTTTAAAAACATTAATAAATTGAAAGAATTATAGTTTCTATAAATGAAGATGCTGATGCGTGTGTGGTCTGCAGATGTCAGTCTGGCCTGAGGAGAAGAACTCTATCAGCTCGTATCTCTCAGATTCATCTGAACGCTGAGATTGATTGCTTCACTCGTCTTGTATTTCACTCTTGACTCCAGAGTTTCCGCTCAAACCTTCAGCCCGAAGCCATCCTGGCACTTCCATCTGTCAGCAATGCAGAGTGCTGCAGTACAACTGAAATTCCACTATCATTGACTTTTACATCATCTGAGATGTAGATGAGTTTGTTTCGTCATCAGATTTGGAGAAATGTAGCATTGCATCAATTGCTCAGCAATGGATCCTCTGCAGTGAATGGGTGCCGTCAGAATGAGAGTCCAAACAGTTGATAAAAACATCACAATAATCCACACCCCTCCAGTCCATCAGTTAACATCTTGTATGTCACAAACTGTGTGTTTGTAAGAAACAAAGCTGTTATTAAGATGCTTTTATATCTGACTAAAATACCAGTCCATAAATAGAAAAAAACAACAACTTTGTTTTCTCTTTTCTTTAATCTTTCCCTGTCTAGTTTGCACTTATTTGAACAATGCTTGAAACTTCCTGTGTCTACTTAACTCTTTAAGATTAATCGCTTGAATTAAGTCACTTTGGATGAAAGCATCTGATAAATGAATAAATGTAAATGTAATCCATAATAATCTCCTGTTGTCTCTCACATCAAAATCCACCCAGATATTTATTCAATCCTCTACATTACGAGTAAATAACTCGCATATGCGACTAAATCTTCACTCTGGGCGACTAAATTATGTCTAATATTAGCCAGTGGCTAATAAATTCTCAGATTTTACTCGCCAGTGTGAGTTGGAGGCTAAGTATAAGTTTAGCACAGATATATTTTCACTCACAGAACACTCTGACTGAGGGCTTCAGAGTTTCACGCTCAGTCAAGCGATCTGTGCTATTTCTCAGTATTTCTCACCTGTATTTGACGTACCGTGAACTCTAGTGTGAAGGCTCACGACTCGCCGTCGCTTTGTCTCACACACGCAAAGAAACTATATACTTTGTTGTATTTTCCTGTCAAAATAACGGAGTTCCTTTGGATTTTTTCAGCTTTTAAGAACTGCCGGGTTTTCCGGTAGTGGACGGAACTAATGCACAAACGGCAATCTCATTGGCTGGTTCTCACCCGTTATCGTCGGTTTTAATTTCAGCAAATCAATTCGAGAGAACGCACACAACCTGATTAATATTCTTGAATCCAGCAGCTCGTTAATCCTTAGTGCGTTTTATATTGTCCATATTAGTAGAATTCTAAGTACTATTATCTGT